GTAGTAAGGGAACTTGAGGAGTAACCCATCTTTTCTGACTTCCCCCTGGATGGAGTAGCAGGGAACCAGTCAGGCCTCAGAGGGGAGGGTTTCATGGTCTGTTCTGATGACCCTAGGGGGCCAGTGTGATAAGAGAAGAGCCCCATAGTAAACAGCAAAGGCGGAGCCCTTCTCTGGCCCTAGGCCCCATAGCATTTGGAAAGCAATCATATCCCTTGGTTTAGAGCCCACAGGCAGGACTGGGGTGGGGGGCTTCCTTAAAGAGGGCCCCTTGCATTCATGAGGCTGAAGGAAGTTTTGATTTGGTTGAAAAAAAATTCCCATTCCTTTTTATGGCCTGGACATAATTGGCTCTTTTCTATTGGCCATCAGTGATGTCATTCCGACCCTCATAAAGAAGGGGAAATCACACCTGTGGACTTGGTGCATAAAATTTCATTGGGCAGCAGTAATAAGCATGGCCAGATGATGTTTGGGCAGTTGAGGAGCTCTGTGCCCAGTGATCCCAGCTGCATGGAGGCCTGGGCACCATAAACCTGCCTGCACGTTCATGCCCGTAGGCTAGTCCAGGGCCCACTGCCAGTGGCTCTTTTCCTGGGATCAGTGTCTGGTAGAAACTCACAGCATTCAGGCCCTTTGTGCCAGGGGCACTTTCACCTTTTTCTTTTCCAAATTAGTGGCACCACGAACCCACGTACCCACTAGTACCCACTGATCGTAGCCTCATGCTCCTAAGAATTGTGGACCCAGCAGTGACCTTGAGCACCAACCACTGTGCTACCTACCTCTGTGAAACCCAGACCTTGCCTTCCTAGGGACTTGTAAAGACTGCGTCTACATGATTGATGCCTTGTGTAGTCAGAAGGCTTAGATCCCATTTCTGGTTCTGCCCTTGGCTTCTTGTCTGATCAAGCAAATCCTTTTTCTTCTCTGGGCATCAATTTCCTCTTTTATAAAGGGATGACAACTACTCTAACCTATCCTTCCTCATGGGGTTTCTCTTGGTGCTGTCTGAGCTGGGCTAGGGTTCTGTCGTAGAAATGTGTAGCTAGCTGTCTTCCCATGAGGCACCTGGGAGTTCAAGTTCTGGCATATGGCTCTGTGTTTCTTGTGAAGACGGGCCTGGGTCCTGCTACACCTGTAGCAGGTGTACTGCTTGTGTCTTGAAGTCACAGAGCTAGGACCTCCCATCAGCTGGAGGATTCGACAACTGGAATGTCTGTGAGTCTACAAATGGCAGGTTTACCTACAAGTGACTGTACAAACCCCAAGTGAGGGCAATGGTCCCGCCGCTCTCTGCTTCAGTCATCCAAGGGGCCCAGGCAGCACTCCAGATGCTGCCGAGCCATATCTGAAGCTGAGTCTTCAGTCTGACAATCTGTCTAGTCTGTCCTCCTTCAAGAGAACTAGGCAGGATCCTGTGAGACACTCCCTGCCAGGGTAGAGGACACTTCCTGTCTGACAGCTGACACTTGACATCTGCCCTTGAAGTCCTGCTGAAGAGGGAGCCCTTTCTCTCCCAGGGCCAGCCACAGCCAAGAGCACTCCTGGCCTAGGTCAGCTAAATGAACCAGAGGGTGCTGGGGGAGTGTGATAGGTGACCCCGGACCTTTGCCTTTTCCTGGCCAGTCCCCTGATGTGTTCCTTTGCAGATTCTGCTGCTTCTGGTGGCCCGCTTCACTCACAGGCCTTAATGTGATGTTTTAAAAGTAGCTGACCTGAGCAAGCAGTTTCACAAACACCAAGGGTAAGGAACATGAAAGAAAAATTGAAGGGAATAAGAAAATTACCCACACATTACAGTTCTGTGTCTTAGGCAACCACATTCTAGTTCCTTTTGTCTTTCAGAATCTTGCCTCATTTCCTTATAATCTTGGTCATTGGTTCCCACATGTAGACGTCCTACCCGGATACCCCTTCATCCTCTTGACCTCAGCCAGACTTTCCCTTCCAGGAAATTGACTGGTTGTAGTTCGTGTCACCGTGTCACCTGGCTGTGAAGAGGAGCCTTCCTCTTGGTAAGGTATCTCAGGTCTCAGAAAAGTAAATGCTTACTCTGCTAGTAGCCCGAAACATAGGCATTGACTTCCACTAGTGTCTGTCAGACAGCTGAAGAGTAATAGAGGGAAGGTTGACTGCCCTAACACTTCCTAGGGTAGAAACAGTCATTCAACTGGATTCTTGTTGCCAAACCTCCTAAAGAGGGAGTTTGTGCTTGTGATCTCCACTTTATTTCTTCTTACTCTTCAACACGTCACCTTCTGCCTTCTCTCCCTACCAGCCCACTGATGCCAAATTCATTGGGTTTTTCTCAGCTCTCTCTTATTTCACTGTTTTATGGCATTTGACATTAATGACTTGCTTTTTAGGCTCAAAAATGAATTATTCTAGAAAGGGTAAGCTTGCTTTCGTTATCCTTTAGGTTGCCCACAGCTGATCTGAAGTCTGAAGCCTGAAGTATAGTCACTCAGTTGTGTCTGACTCTTTGTGGCCCTACGGACTGTAGCCCGCTAGGCTACTCTGTCCATGGAATTCTCCAGGCAGGAATACTGGAGTGGGTTGCTATTCCCTTCTCTAGGGGATCTTCCTGACCCAGGGATTGAACCCAGGTCTCCTGCATTGCAGGTGGATTCTTTACCATCTGAGCCACCGGGGAGGCCCCAGGTGATGTGACGTGTGGTCCAAAGAGCACTTGTTACCTTGGCTTCCTGATACTAGGAGCCTTGCCCTCTGGGCATGGAGGTGGGTTGGGTGAGTCCTGCCTCATGGCACATTATCTCGAAGGAGGTAAGGCTATGTGACCTGGAGAAGGGAACTTGGAGGGAAGCTCCCTAGGCTCATGCATCTTGAGAGGTTCTGCAAGGAAGAGATGGAAGTCTCATTCTCTGTAGTTTCTAAAGACATTCCTCAGACTTGGGGGTGGAAATTACAAAAGACAGATTAAAGTTTAGCATTAAGGAAGGATGTTCTATTAATTGGAGGAGTCCACAATTAGAGTCGACTGCTGTGTGTAGTAGTGAGTTCCTTGTCCCTGGTGTTGGTCTGGTCCAGGTGGCCTCATTTCATTTTAGCTCAGCAAAGCTTGGTGGTCATTGGTCATTGGTGAAAGTCACTGAGTTGTGCCTGACTCTTTGCGACCCCATGGACTATACAGTCCGTGGAATTCTCCAGGCCAGAATACTGGAGTGGGTAGCCTTTCCCTTCTCTGGGGAATCTTCCCAACCCAGGGGTTGAACCCAGGTCTCCCACATTGCAGGCAGATTCATTACCATCTGAGCCACAAGGGGAGCCCAAGAATACTGGAGTGGGTAGCTTATCCTTTCTCCAGCGGATATTCCTGACCGAGGAATCGAACCGGGATCTCCTGCATTGCAGGCGGATTTTTACTGACTGAGCTTTGTGAGACATTAACCTGGGCGCTCTGCTCCTCTCATTCTTCCTGGGTGATCTTGTCTTCTCTCGTGGCTTTAATTTTACTTAAATTACACGAATGATTCAGCAGTTTATATCTCCAGGCCAGATCTCTCTTCAGAACTGGATATCCATCTGCCTCTTAGACCTCATCCCACTGCCAAATGTCTCCTAGGGCTCTCAAACTCAACAGGTATTGAGTGCTTAGCAGGTGTCAAGTATACCTCTCAAATGACATTCCCAAACTCATGCCTCTATCCGGTGGGCTAGTAGAGGGGAGGCACTGGGACGATGGCTGGTCTAGGGAGACACTGTATGAAGAGAATTTAAAAACAGTAATGAAATTGACTGAAAGCTGGTTGCCTGCATCTGCATTGTCACATATGCTCTCTGCGCCCCTAACTTTGTCTCAGTAAGAAGCACAGAGCTGGTCTAACCACATGCCTGTGGATTGGGTTCTACCACTTTCTCTCATTCACTCACCAAGATTTCCTTTACATCTCTTTTTTTCTGTTGCTTGCTCACTGTCTCTACAGCTGCTGTCTAGTCTCCTGGCTACTACTTGGCTTTTGCAGTGTATTGTTTTTGTTGCCCCCAGAACTATCTTTGTAAATCACAACTCTTCAGAGGTTCTCTATTGCCTGTGGCCAAGCTCCTCTTTGCAAGGAAACTATGGCCTTCCCCAGCTGATATTTCTTGTATCTTCTTCCATGTACCCCAATGCTTTAACTTAAGGCTTTTAATCTATTTCTTTTACTGTCCATTCTGCTGAACAAACTGTGAGTCCCTTATGTGCAGGAGTTAAGTTTTACTTTTTGAGTCCTGAGTGCCTGACTCTTACTAAACATCAGTGTTTAATAAGTGTTTGTTTGAATGGATTTGTGTAGGCAAAATCATCAGCTAGAAGGGGAGAGTTTATAAATTATAATTTAAAGAAAAATCAAGAACAGACTCAATGTACATTCTGACATCTTTTTATCTCTGTCTTCGCTATCACAAAAAGCTTATTGTTAGAGACTTAAATGTGAGGCAAAGGCCCTGCCCAGCTGTCTCTAAATCATGTGCTCTTTTCCCTCTCTCCTCCTGTCTCAGTCTCTGCCTGTCTGTGTAACAAAATGACAACAACATCCTGTTGCACTGGAAAGAACACAAGCTTTTGAATGAGATAGACCTGGGCTCAGTTATTGGCACTATCATGTTTTAGCTGTGGGGACTTGGGTAGCCTGACTCTTGTTTTCTCATCTATAAGTGTACAGATCTACCACCTCCCAGCTTCACTCTGAATTAATGTGAAAATGTAAGTAAGAAACTTAGCAATATTGTAGGCTATCAGAAAGCAGTGTGTGATATTATTTTGAATAGAGTCTCCAGGTTCTCACATTTGGATCTGAGGGCTGCATCTGGAGCCTCGTGTCCAGGGTGCTGAAGGTGGAGTCCCTTTCTTGGGTGGGGTAGGACCCATGGTTGGTGGGTTGTTAGCCTTTTGGGGGTCTCTCTGTCTTTTAGACTCTGTTAGATTTCCTGTCTTAAGACTCCTTACCTGCGACATGGGTTGCTCAACTTGTTCTCTCCTTCCTGTCTTTCTTCAGGCTCCCAGGACAGTGCCAGTACTTAGGCTTGCCAGTAGCAGATTACTTCAAGCAGTGGATTAACCTGAAAAAGGTACTGTATCTGAGCCCCTCTCCATGTGTCCTCAGGTTCTCCTGTGCCTCATCCCTCTTGCTTTCTTTTCTCATTTCTGTTCTTTTCATGTTGTTGTTCTCATTTCTTTTCTCTTCGTTCTTTTCTTTCCTCAATGGTCCTCCTTCCTCCTCCCTAGCTAATATGGAAGGTTGGGGTTATTTCTGAGAGTGGGGAGCTGCTTAAGGGACTAGGCTGCTGGGTGGAGTTTGACACCACCCTCCTTGGTGTCCCCTAGATGTGCAGAGAAGTCCCGATTAAGGGGAGTTTCCAGCTCTTGCTCAGAGCTCCCCCTCTGGGCTGAGCTGCATTGCCTCTAGGAGGGACGTGGTCCCAGTTGAGCCTCTGGGGAAGTGCCAGGAGTGATCATGGGTGTGACCTCTGATCCTCCTGACTGGCCCTGGTATCTCGTGGTGGCGAGGTGGAGTTGGTCCAGGCTGGCTTTGGTTCTACCTACCTGCAGCCGAGCCTGCTCATGTGAGAAGGGCTGTGGACACTAGTACCCACTTCCCTTTGAGCGTGGGGGAGGAGGCTGGCACTCACCTAGCACCAAGCACCTGGGGAGAGGGCGCTGAGGCTGTGGGTCAGGAGGGACCCTGTGCAGCTAGGAAAGTGGGCCCTGGCAGAGAATGAATCACCCAGAAAGCTGGACTTTTCCTAGTGTGTGCTGTACTTCCTAGGTAAGCAAAAGAAGGGAGGTGTAGGAATAGACTTCCCAGATCCCTGCTGTCTTAGGATCCCGGCTGTGGGAGGCCCAGGCCACTCGGGAGACTTGACTCCCATGAATCCCTCTGATGGAAGGGTAACAGACCAGGGTCAGCCCCAGGAACCTGTGCCATTGGCCAGCTCAGTGACTCCCAGGAAACTCAGAGGAGGGAGAACACATCAGGAGTCAAGAGTAGTGATTCCCGGGGGCAGGGTTGGGGAGCAGTACTCAGGGAAGGGAGTGATGTTAGAGGGCCAGGCCCTCTGGTATTGTAAGGATTAGGGTCTTGAACTGGGCATTCTCGGAAGGCGGGATCTGGATCTGGGGAGAGGGGACTTGTGCATAGGGGGAGCAGCATTCTTTGGTGTGTGGGGATGCTGGAGGCAAGCGAGCGTTTGGAGGAGCAGTGGAAGACAACCACCCTGGGCTTTGTTCTCGGGCAGCTGCTCTCTGTGGCAGTGTGTATGAGCTCCTTTGGGGTCCCCTGGTGTGCGGGTCCTTTGCCCTCGGGCTTGTCTGTGTTTTGACCCCTTCCCATCTCTCCCGCTGATCTCCTTGCAGCTGAACAATCGCTTCCTACTGCCTCCCAGCTGGGGCTGAGGAGGCCAGGCTCTGTCCTGCCTTTGGGCCTCGGCCTGAGGCCTTCTCTCCGTCTGAAGCACCCCCAGTCATCTTCTTCAGGCATATTCTCTCTCCTTGATGATTCGGCTCAGGTCTCACCTCGGCTAAGAAGCTCAGAAGTCGATCTCTTGCCTTAAGGCTTTGACACTCTGGATATCCATGATCTTTGAGTCCATGTGTTTCCTTTCAGACGTGTCCCTCCGAAGCGCAGAGACTGAGCCTGGTTCCTCTCTGTGTCCCCGCTGGCCAGATCAAGGCTAGGTGCAGAGTGTATGCCCAGTGAGCAATTGCTAGCTGGCTGACTGATCCTTGAGAGCTGGCTCCAGAGAGGGCCTCTCACGCGGGTCTTGGCAGGGCTACGCGTGCGGGTGTGGCCAGGCCCGAGCGCCTGGAAGAGACGGCGTGCCAGCTGTCAGAGTGCATCTGAGGCTGCCTGCTGGTCTCTGCAAATGCAATGTGAAGGGCCGGCCAGGCGAGGCGGGCGCTGACCATGAACAATTGCTCTGTGAAGTTCACTAGACTTTGTGGTGTATGGATAGCTCCCTGCCTCTAGGTTCCTTGGCAGAGAGGCAGGAAACCAGCCGACCCGTGTGATAACATTGCCACTCGGGACTACCTTGGTGCTGCTGGCAGTGGAGGAAGCTGTGCTGAACCTATTCAGCTTGGTTCTCTGCCAGACTGTGCTGAGTAGTGGAGGGAGGAACGGGTACTAGGGGAAACAGAGGACTCTGTGATCGCCTCCTGGGAGGTAGACTGTGTAGGTCTAAGAAAAACCAGGGGTCTCGCCCCTTCCTTTCTGGTCTCCAGCCACACTGTGTTCCAGCTGTGCTTGAGGGCCCAGCAGGAAAGATGATCCAACTCTAGTCCTCATCAACCATTCGAGACAGGGAGACTCCAGGACCCTGGCGGTCCAGGCACATGGCGATCTTCCTGACCTTTATACTGCGTGACTTAGTGCAGGTTGCACAGGGATTCCTGCACCCTTAAAAAGAGCAACGAGAAAAGCTAAGCCAGAGAGGCCATTGCCAAGGTTGTGGGAATACCACATAAAAGCCCCACTCCTACCCTCTTTCCCCACGTGGGACCCAGGCCCTGGCTATCTCTGGGCTTCTCTCCCATCCTTTACCTTACTTTGTCCTGCCCCCTTTCCTTCCTTTCCTCTCCTCAGTGCCCCAGGAGGGCTCTGCCCCTTGAAAAGAATGGGGAGGCTCTGGGTCTGCTTGGCCACCTAGACCTGCTGAGTGAGCGAGCAGCTGGGACTGAGGTCGGGGTCCGCACTTGACTAAGGCCTCCAGTCTGAGCAGAGGTGGAATGTGGTCTTTCAGCTGCCCTCTCCTGTCCAGAGGTGGCGTGGGTGGTCTCAGGGAAGGGCAACTCTTCCAGGGCCAGGTCTCCACTTCTCCCGCCTCCACTTACTTTCCCTGTAGCAGAGAGGAGCGAACTAGTGTTTGCTGACATTTGGAATGTCATTGACTGATCTATGCTCTTATTGAACTGTCAGCTTAGAGAGGACTTGGGGCCCTGCTTCCAATGGCCTCCAGGAGGTCAGAGCTGTCACTGAGGGGCCAGAAGAGTGTATACACACATGTGCATGCACATAGATATACACGTGTACTTATGTGAATGAATACACTCAAGTACCCAAAACTGTATGCATGTATCCATACTTGAATACATGTGTATACACCTATTCACGTGTAGAAACATGAAAATGTATACAAGTACAAATGTGTTTATATATACATATTCATAAACTGTAAAGGCACATGCACGTATATAAACATACACATCTGCATAAATAAGCAAAATATTCTTGAGTGCCTTCTGTGTTCCAGATACGGTGGTGGGCCCTGGGGATTTAACAGAAAATATGTATGTTAAATAAACAATTTCAATTGTGTTATAATACCAAAAAATTCAGAGTCATAGGATCATATCACAAGGGATATAGTAGGATATCATAGGATAATATCACCTGACTTAGTGGGATGAGGGGGAGGAAGGGGGCCTAAGCTGAGACCTGGGGGATAAGCAGAAATCGACTGAGCAGAGGAGACCACATATGGCAAGGCTTTGGGTGAAGAGCAGCCTGGCAGCTTCATGGAGTTAGAATGTAAGTTCCATGAGGGTGGAAAATGTTTGTCTCTTGTGTTCCCTCTTCCGTCCTCATCACTCTGGATAGTCCCTGGCACACAGTAGATGTGAAATCATTATTTGCTAGACAAATGACTGTCTGAAGTACAGTGAATGTGGGGAAGAGAGAAGGCTGACCTGAAATGAAACTGGAGGGGAGGCAGCACCTTGTAGACCAGACTTTAGGTTTTGATCTTTGTCCTTAGGGTGAGGGGACATGATTGAAGATAGGAGAGGCATCATCTGATTTGCATTTTGAAAAAACACTCTCAGGCTGCAGTGTAGAAAGAGCTAGTAAAAATAGGGGACCAGTAATAGAGCTATAGTTGGCTTGTTGGGATGGGCAAATCATTGTGTGGGCAGCATGGCTGAATTCATAGCATCCCCAGCCCCTGTTCATTGGATGCCAGGAGAGTGCCCTTCTCCAATTCACTGTGACAACTGAAAATGCCACCCTCCCCCCGCCCCCCCCAACAAACATATGTTTCCAGTGGCCTGGACGAAGCTGGAGTGAAGAGGTACCATACCTACTTGAGAACCATGGAATTAGACCATTGCTTAGTTCAGGTGAAAGGTGATAGTTACTGGGATTGAAGTGATAGCAGTGGAAATGTAGAGAAATGGACTGAGTTTGGAGTATTAAATGGTACAGTCAGTTCTCCTGTGGTGGAACAGACACCTCCCTGCAAATCACCATGCTGTGGAAAGCTGTGTAGTAAAAATGGGGTTAGGAGCATAGTCCTTACAAACTACATCCGTGGTACATGAAAAGAGATGGGAATCTAATAAAAAAATCTAATAAAATAAAAACTATGGGTATTATTACTTTACATGTATTAAATGGTTAAGAAATACACAAATACTACATTAAATATGGCATTTTTACCTTGAAGAAAACTTGAAGTTTGCGTGGAAATGAGCATGAGAAGGGTTGCAGCTTGTGAGTTACTGTGAAGTGGCGGAAGGAGAGTTCTCTGAAATCAGAGATTGAAACCAGATGGATGTGACTTGTAACACAAGTGGTGGTCCAGGTAGCTGGTATGTGTTTGGGATGTGTGCACTTTGTATGTTCTTGCATAGCTCTGTTCAGCTGGGTGTAGTTTCCTGTGTTTATCTAATATTGTTTATGGACAGAGTCTCACATAAATGCACAAGTGTGTGTTATGCTAAATCGTCCCTAATACTCCAGTTGCACTGGAACAAGCTTGCTCTTTCAAAATGAAGTAGAACTGACTGTAAAATAGATGTGAGGGTTGGAGGATGAAGGAGGAAACCATCATGACTCCAAGGTTTATAATTTGAGCAACTGAAAGAATTGGAATGAATTTACTGAGACAATGGAAGACGTAGTGTGGAGATTGGAAGAGAAGGCAAATTCAGTGTGGGACATGTTGAGTTAGATGTCATTAAGGCATTTTGGTGAAGCTTTTGAGAAGGTATTTGAATATATAGTCCTGGGGCTCATGGATAAGGTCTGGATAAGAGATGCAGATTTGGGGGCATTATTGTTGTGTGAGTGATA